GCGCGCGTGCCCGGCGCGCGCCGCGCGGGGCGAGTTGTGGGCGCCCTCGACCGCCTCGTGGTTCTTCCGAGCCAGCAGGCGCGCGGTTGCTCGCGAGCAGCCCACGACCGCGCAGAAGAGAATGGCTGACTGATCTGCCATGGTCGAGAAGAGTTGGCCCGCGCCAGCGTTGATACGGGGCGCAAGGATTGCGGGGCCACTTGGCGAATGCACCAATTTGGGCTGCATCGGCGCCCCCGCCCGCCCTTCTTCTCAACTTGGCCCTTCAAAGCAAAGGCCCCATAGCGCCCTCGCCGCAATGTTGCAAGTGCCCCCCCCCCCCCCCCCTCACTTGGGCGCGATCTGGTCCTTGCGCAGCATGTCAATGACAGACATGTTGGGGCGGTTGATGATATCCTCGATGCAACTCCCCCACGCAGCCCTGTCCTTCCGCCCCATCAAGATGGCGGAGTCGCCGTGCCGAATTGGAGGCGCGCGTGTGTGCGAAGTGACCTTCTGGCTGCCAGCCTCGTTGACGGCGGGGTGCTTCGCCGGCGTCTTCGCGAGCCCCGTGGGCGCCTTCGCGGCCTTTGCGCGAGAGCGCGGCGGCGCCGCGGGCCTTCCCGTCTTGGGAAGGTGGGAAGTCATCGCGCGCGGCGCGCGCGAGGGGCAGGCCGCGCGCTCTGTCCCGGAAGCCGAACGTTGCCGCGAGAAACGCTCTGTCCCTGGCCGCGGGAAAGGCGAGCTGGCCGCCGAAGGGGCGCCCCCCCTCTCCGCTGGCGCGCGCCGCTCTTTTCCCGGAAGCCGCCGGAAGCCTGGGGGGCCGGGAACGGCGACGCGCGCGACGGTCTCGCGCTAGACAATCGCACGAGCGCGACCCCCGACGCAGCGCGGTCTGCGGCGCGTCACCCAGGGTGCAACACCTATGCAGGCAGCGCGGCGGACGAATATCTCGTCTGGGGCGGAATAGCGCGCCTGCGCCTGCGGCCGCAAGAACGCGCTCGCGCCCGAAATGTCCGCGCGCGCCGCCCGCGGCCCGCCGCTTGAGTTCTCGCTTCGCGGCCGCGCCGCTGCTCGCAGAGCCAGCGCCTGCCTGCTGAATCTGATCGCTCAGGATGGCCTCGAGCTCCTGCCCCCGCGAAAGTTTCTCCCCGCCGATCTCCTTCGGCGCCGGCCCCGCCAAAGAGGCCAAAGACGCCCGCCTCGTCGAACTCGTCGGGGTTGGGCGGGGCCGCGGCCGCGGCTGCCCCGGAGCCATCTTCGGGGCCCCCGCCATGTTTGGGTTGGGCTGCGGCGCGGCCGCGGCTGCCCCGGCGCCGCGCCCGTCGCTGGCGCGCGCCGCGGCGGCGGCGCGAGAGGCATTCACGCGCTTCGCCGTGAGCTCGGCCACCCCCCTCTTCTCGAAAGAGCACAGGCGGTCGAAATCTTCGCCGTCGCGCCGAACGCTGCCGGCCTGCAAATGCGCCCAGAGCGCCGTGCAAGCATCCGGCTTCAAGTGCCCCAGATACAGCGGGAACTTCTCGACTTCCTTGTTGTGGCCAACTGGGCGGAAGTAGGGCCAGTGCGTCACGGCGAGCAAGCTGTCGCGGCGCTTCAACACGGCCCCAGCGCTGCTGCTGGGCAATTTCTCGGGGGGCGCTGGCGAGGCCATGTCGGTCGGGAGCGGCCTTTTGGGGTCCCAGAGGCGCCCAAAAAGGCCCAAGAAGCGTCCAAGACGGCCCAAGATACCCCCTGAGACGCCCCAGAGCGAGGTCCAGGAGGACTCCAAGACGGCCCCAGAGCGCTCCAAGAAACCCCAAGACCCTCCAATACCGTTCCGAGATGGTTTAAGATAGCCTCAAGTCGGTCCAAGAGGGCCCCAAGACGGCCCAAGAGGGCTTCAAAAGCACACCCGAGAGGGCCTCAGGGAGCAAACAACATTGATGCTCCTTTGGTTTTAGATAGTTTTTAGGGTTCCCGTCATTTCGGGGCCAAGAACGGCCCGCGAGGTAAATGGTTTGATGTTCGATGGTTTTCAGTAGTTTGTCGGTTTCTCGCCTTTTCGGGCCAAGAACTGCCCCAAACGGCCCGAGAGGCTCCAGAGAGGTTCCTGCGCGCGTGGCCTCATTGCGCGCGCCTGACGGCAGCGTCGCCGAGCGAGGCCGCGAGCGGTGCGCATCCAGCGAACGCCCTTTTTTCAGCGGCATCAACAGGGGGAAATGCCGTGCAATTTTCATTGAGGTTGGCCCGGCGAGCGCGTCGCGATCTCGTTGTCGGCGCGGTCGGTGGCGGCAGAGGTCACGCTCGTGGTGTTGTGTAATAGGACGTGGTGCGCATTCGCGCATGGTGAGCCTCGCGCCTGTCGCGGACCACGGCTCTCTTGTTTGCCCCCTTCGATTGCCCCCTTCGTTTCGCCCCTTTCGTTTGCCCCCTTCGCCTTGTCCTGCGCGCGTGGCCTGATTGCGCGCGCCCGACGGCAGCGCCCCCGAGCGAGGCCGCGGGTGGTGCGCATCTAGCGAACGATTTTGTCAGCGGCGTCAACAAGGGGAAATGCCTTGCGTTTTTCGTTGAGGCTGGCCCGGCGAGAGCGCCCCGATCGCGTTGTCAGCGGGGTCGGTGGCGGCAGAGGTCACGCGTTCTAAATGTTATCTCGTGGCGTTGTGTAGTGGGACGTGGCGCGCAGTCGCGCGGGGTGAGCCTCGCGCCTGTCGTGGGTCGCGGCTCTCTTGTTTGACACCTTCGCTTGCTCCCTTCGTTTCGCATTCTTCGTCTGCCCCCTTGCCTTGTCCCGCGCGCGCGGCCTCGCTGCGCGCGCCCAGCGGCAGCGTCCCCGAGCGAGGCCGCGAGTGGTGCGTATCCAGCGAATGCATTTTCTTTTCTGCGGCGTCAACAAAGGGAAATACTCTGTATTTTTCGCTGAGGTTGGCCCGACGAGCGCGTCGCCATCGCGTTGTCAGCGCGGTCGGCGGCGGCGCAGGTCACGCGTTCCATGTGTTCTCGCGTGGTGTTGTGTAATAGGACGTGGTACACAGTCGCGCAAGGTGGGCCTCGCGCCTGTCGCGGGCCACGGCCCTCTTTGTTTGCCCCCGTCGATTGCCCCCGTCGTTTGGCCTCCTGCGTTTGCCCCCATTCGCCTTTTCCTGCGCGCGCGGCCTCACTGCGCGCGCCCGGCGGCAGCGTCGCCGAGCGAGGCCGCGAGCGGCGCGCATCCAGCGATAAGCAAGGCACGCAGCATAATTACCGCACGTTGGTTCCCACGCGCACTCGGTTAGCGAGTGCCGGCATGCAAAGCGCGATCGAGAATAACGAAGTACGATTTGTTAACACGATTTGTCCTTTATCCCACTCAGTGGGATAACTGGCTTCTGAGCACAGAGCGAACCCACGACAGAGTGAGGGCGCGCGGGATCTTCTATCCCACTTAGTGGGATAACTGGCTTCTGAGCACAGAGCGAACCCACGATAGGGTCAGATCGTGCGGGATCTTCTATCCCACTTAGTGGGATAACTGGCTTCTGAACACAGAGCTAACCTTCTCGGCACTGATACCAAACTGCACGGCGCGGCTTTTGCGGAGGTGCGTTAGAAGATAACTGCGAATCGTCTGCCGACTGGGCCGCCCCGTGCCATTCACGTAAATGCACGGACGTGCGCGCATGCAGATGCCGCCCCGTAGCTGTTTGGGGTCAAATCAGCCAGCATGCCCTGTATCGCTTGAGCGCATTCCGATTCAACATCGATCCTACCATTCATGTCTTCATTTCTCATAGCGACTTGGTCGCTCGCCCATCCCGACCGAGTGCTCTGGCCTCGGTGGCACCATGGCGGTTCGCGGGGTGGGCCCGTGGCTCGGGGCGAAGTTCGATCCAGAGTTCGTCTCTTGCCGCGGTTGGTATCCAGGAGACGGCCTTGACATCGGACTTTTGGACGACGAGGGTAAGGGCCAAGGGTCTGGACTCATACTCGCCCATGAGACAGGTGGTAAAGGGCGCCCGTGACGAGCGTCGCTCCTCGCTGCCAGCGATCCCCACTACCACTGGCGGGCCCTGGAATCTGGCAAAATACCAAATCCAGGGCTCCACCGACATGCCGTCGGCGCGCGCGACGACGGGGAGACGAAGTTCGCGGGCGAGCTGGTCACCCCGGTCTACACCTACCGCTCGCTCAACTCCGGCACGGCCCTCCCATGAGCTCAGGGGAATGAAGTGGTTGGACGACGACCTCCTGATGCAGCATGCAGGTCCAAGAGGCCGTCCATCGTGCACTTCAGGAGCCGCGCAGAGCTTCGCAGCCTCCTCTCCCTTCGCCTGCGCACCCCCCACCATCAAGGGGGCCAAGCCCTGGCCCGGGGCTGTTCGACAGGCGCGGCGACGGCGATAACACGGAGGGCGACTTGGAGAAGCTCAAGGCTGAAGTTGCCGCCGGGGACTGCAAAGATAGCAGGGCGCATGAGGAATGGAAGGAGAAGGAAGACAGAAAGAAGAAAGACGACAATGGCCGCGACGACAAACGCACAAACGACCGGCATCACAGGCGCAGCCGGAGCAGGCGGCGGCGCAGCCAGAGCGCTGCCAGGAGGCGCTCGCCCGATCGGCGCAGCCCCGGCTGGGGCCCGCCTTGCCGCGAGGCGCCCGATGACCGCAGCCGCGCGCCGCGGAGCCAGGGCCGCGGCAAGGACAGGCTCCAGGATCGCGAGAGGCAGTCATCAGGAGAGGCGCGATGCCCGCCGGGAGGAATCAGCTCCTCGTCATCACAAGGAGAAACGAAGAAGCAGGCGCAGGCCCCCCAAGGAGCACACCGCTTTCCGGAGTGACTTCGACGAGGCGTCCAAGGCAAAAGTTGCCCAGACGGCGAAGAAGCGTTCAAAGAGGTCGAGATCCCGCAGCCGGTCCGGCCCCTGGCCTGGGTCGGTTTTTCTTCTCAGGTGGCTTCGTCGACGGTCGGCCGGTTTACCCAGGCCCGGTTGGCGAACTGCGCAGCTGCCCATCCAGGGCGCATGGCGATCGATATGCTCCAGAAGATGGCCAACAGAGTGTCCAGCGATGGCGGCGGCGCCAGCCTCTGCCAAAAGCTTCCGCCACGCGGAGCTCAAGAAGATCATGGACCGCCCAGGAAACCTCAAGGCCATCCGCGAGTCGCGCACTCTGTGCGTGGCTCTCGACCACCTGGCCTTGGGCCGCACCCGAGCGGCGGCGGATGCGCTCAGCCTCAGGCTGCAGGCGGTGGACATGGCGGAGCGCGTCGGCTGGGACAGAGCACGGCACATCGAGCTGATCCCCCCCGAGTCCGAGGGCCTGGCCGGAAAGGAGATGAACTGCGTAGCCACCGGGGAAGCCGACCTCGATCGCCGTCTCGGGGAAAAGAGCGCAAACAGTTCCTCCGCAGGCGCTTGGTCTCTGCCCAAGAGCGGCTTTTCGGGGAAAGGGCCCGGCGCGGACATCGGCAAAAGGAAGAGCAAGGTGAAAGGCACGCGCGAGTGGGGCGGCTGGGCATGGAAGAGCTCCAACCAGAAGGGGAAAGGCTGGGAAGCCTCCCGTGGAATCCAGAGGACGTCGGGTTTCTGCACTCCAGCGCGTTCACTGCGTGGCAAAAGACTTTTCTGAATAGCGTAGCCCAGACCCGCTCCGCGAAGCAGCCTGCCGGGCTTCTCGCTAGGGCCGCCCTTGACTCTCCGACTAGATTTGGGCAGCTCTACCGGCGTTTCGTTGAACAGGCGAGCCAGCACGAGCACCGCTCCGAGTTCGATGTCACGTGCCGCGTCGATGCGGACCTTCATCGCGATGTCCTTCATTGTCCTTCATCATCTCCCACACCACCCGCCTCGGGCACTGCGCCCACTGCGGACTTGCTGCCCATCAACACCGCGCTGGCAGACATGTTCTGAAGGGTTTGAATGCTGCGGCAGATGAGATTCCAGCAACCCACTCGCTACGATTGGCACGGCTCGGAACGCACAGCTTGAACTTCTTGGCGCGCGCCGGTTGGGCGTCCACGCCAAAGCGCAACTTTGCCCGCGCGTTTGACCCGGGCGCAGGGGCGGACATTGAATTTAATCATCGAGGCTGTTATCAATTTTGTTTTCTCGCCCGACGCCCCGCTCATTCTTTCGGACGTCGTCGACGACCTGCAGTGCCGGAAGATGTCCTACTCTGGGGAAAGCGTCACAAGACGGCGGGGTCTACAATGCAAGCTCGTTATTCCATGCTGGCCAAGCATCGGAGAAGCTCGTCTTCTCCCAATGGAGCAGTTCGTAGACGGGGAGATCAGGGACGACATCCTCGAGCCGACGGGTTGTCTTCTTCCTCGAGAACTGTGGCCGGCCACCACCAAGAAGTCCGCCGTGTTCGCGGCAGACGACGAATGGTACGCCATCGTCAAGGCCGGAGTGCAGCGCAACATGTTTGGCCAGATCGAGCTCAAAGACGAATTCACTGGGGCCGACGGTCTACGTGTCCTCGGCGGAGCGATGGGAGTGGATAAAACAAAGATTCGAGATGGGGTGGCGACGCCTTGTCTTAGATTCGTATGTGCCTTCACTTCCACCATTGAGTTCTGCCGACGGCTGCGAGGAGGCGCCGATTATCTACCCTACCTCAACCAGTTGGGACTCGTCCTCTTGAGCTGCGGGGAAATGCTCGTTGTCGACTCCGAGGACATGACATCCTGCTTCAATCTGTTCAGGATGCCAGATGCTTGGGCCAAGTTCTTTGCTTTCTCCAAGCCAGTCCCGCGCTCGTACTTTGGAGGTCCAGCCCATGAGATGGTGCACGTCTACTTCAAAGCTGTGCCCATGGGCTGGATGGGGGAGCTGTACGAATCCGACGGCCTGCTGGCCCGCGCCGCTAGCGAGAGCGACCCGCACGGCGTCTTCGTCAACACATGCGGGATTTTCGGCATACCGCTTGCAATTGGCAAAAGGCTCGTCCCGTCATTCAGGACCGCTATCTTGGGGGGCGAACTTGACGGTACACGGGGGGTCCTGCTGCATTCTCGGGAGAAGGGGTTTCGTCTTCTCGCCAAACCGGCGGGGCTTATGACAATGGAGTCCTGGACAGAGGCGGCCCTGCACCACTGGTCAGTCCTCTATGGCTTCGGCGCGGGATTCCGGCGGCCGGCCTTTTCGACGTTGCAGGACGTAATCTCTTGGATACACGACCCAGCGTGGGGCAAGCATGCAGCGCAGTCGCCTCCGCCAGAGGTCGTTGACGAAATTTTGGCCAGCGCGGGATTGGCGCCGTTGCTTTTCGGCGACTTGCGGGCCTCCATCCGGACCATAATCAGCTGCTCCGACGCCTCAGAGGCCGGCGGCGCTGCTTCGGAGGCGCGAGCCTTCGTCCCCGCCATCGGCGCCTCCGTGGCCGCAGTTGCGGAAGATTGGACGGCTGCGCTTGCAGAGGAAGGCTCTCGTGAATGGCCGGGGCCAGAAACATCATGCCTCGAGTGCCTGAGCCAGCACACACACACACACACACACACACACTTCGACAGCTGGGCCACTTGCCCTGCGCAGTGCGGGGCTCATCTCTGCAGCATCCCTTGCAT